TGTCTTGCTGCAGGCGTAGTGTAGGTAAGTCATGGCTGCTTGAAAGCAGTAGTGTAAGTCATGGCTGCTTGAAAGCTCATCCCAGAGCACGAGGACACTTTTTATAGTAACTTGCCACAGAATGATGGCTTATGGCTGCTTCCTACTTTGGAACTGCCATGATGAAATCCATCCGAGTTACTGGTGGAGAAAATAAAGTATTTCAGATTCTCCCTTCAAAATGGCATGACGCAACTTCTGCCCTGTCTTCTTGAATTGTTTTAGCAATTTAGAGAATCAAAAAGTATGCACATCCTATCACAGAAATAGGCTGTAGCCATGGCTGTCTCAGGAAGCTTCTTGGCATAAACACGGGATATGATTGCAAGAAAGAGTGAGGCACTGAGTACCTGTGGGGCATAATTTTCTTCCGTGTTACAGAAAGGTTCTTGAAAAAATATGTCTCTCAGTAAGTTTCGGAGCCAATTGCAAGCTCATCTCATGAATAGAACAATAAAGTTCAACAATAGAAGACCACTCAATGACCTCATTTCCAATGCAAAGTTTGTGGGCTTGGAGATTGCTCTTGGTTTTTTTTGGGAAGGTACGGAACATCAAAGACAAAGTAAACGTGTTCGTTGTCAACTTCAAAAAATGGCTTATCAACACACACACCAAGCTTACGTTTGAAGCCCCCTAACCACAGACCACAGCCTTTACTGTGAAGCCAACAGTCTTAAGCTTCCGAATGAGAGAAATGAGGAGACTGCGTTAAACAGAAGACGTTGTTGGAGTGTGCACAACAGTGTATGCAAGGGGCTAAACGCACCTCCTGGAAATTTCAGACAGCATAACAACCAAGGCTCTATCTGCAATGTTAAAGGTTCGTTCAACACCGTCATCTGTAAACCCATGGACAATGTCGTGTGCAGGGTCGTTAGTTAAATTCTTTTTTTTTTTTAAACAATCTCATCGAAAATCAACATGCACACACGTTCAAGTGCAGCCAGACAGCCCGGCAGAAACAAGAGCGCGAGAAGCTCGAACCGATCGGCTCCACGAATTCACGCCGAGCATGCGAGCACGCGGGCGGTCATGCGTCACCTTGATTGATGCAAAGTCGACCGAACATGATGCAGCAGAAAGCACAGATGGACGGCACGCACGGAACAGACGAACGACGCAGGGACGAGCAGAGGCCATGCAGAATGATGTAGAGGCGACGGCGTGCAGGCAGGCAGGCCATGGCAGGCGCCATTCATCACGTGGTTTTTGTGACGTATTTGATTTAAACTATTTAGTCGTTTTAAGTACTTTAAATAATTTTAAAGCATTGCCATTTAAAAAATAAACACTTTACACAGAAAGAGTTTTAATTAATTTTAACCAAATTGCAGAAAAGCGCCACGTAGCGGAGGGTATGAAACGCACTATCTGGGCCGCGAATCGGCTCCTGTGTCCTCTCTTTACGTTTACTATATTACTCTATGGAATGCCGTCCGCGCGGACCGCACCACTAAGTTACGAAAGCCTTGGCCACGCGTCACGTAATGCAAAAAAACGTTGTATCTGCAGGTGGCGCTAGTGATGAGGTGCATAAAAGAGTTTATGCCACGGAACATCGCATTCACTGATCAATGATCGCATTAATGCCACTGATGCGTACAACGAAAGGAATCTAAACAAAATAAGGGATACCGCAAATTTATATATTTATTTACATTTTTATTTGTATCTCAAAATTAAGCAAGCCGGATTTCAATCCGCGTTTGTATAGGTTCCACGTGGGCTCATGCTTATCAGAATTGGTAAATACGAAATAGGCTTAGCATGGGCGGTCCAAACATACATCTACCCTGCCATCTATTACATAACAGAAAATATGTGGCAATAATTCCTTTGTTCTATCACGGCCACTCATTAGGACTCCCCTTGGGAGCGACCTGCCGTATGCCTCACTCCGCCGGTGAGAGCGATAGTTCTACTTTACCCCGCAGCGCCAGCCGTGGCGCTCGTTATCGGTGAGACATAGAGTTCCTTTCGGGGCTTTCGGGGGAGCATTTCACGTTAGTATGTACTTGCTAGCCGCGCGTGCTAAAAGGCTAAAAGCGCGAGAGAGTTGCTTCGAAGGAAGCCTCGGCGGCTGCATGAGCGCTCGTGCAGCGAGTGCTCCTGTCAAAGCAGTAAAGGCTAGCCACTCGCGCTAGCACAGCGTTCGCGGTTAGTCCATCCTAAGTTAAGACGAAATATAGTAAGAGAGGAGCAGTACGCCCGGCCCGGCCCGGTGTGGCTATTTAGATTTTTTTTTTTCGTGAAGCCGCAAGTCTCAATTGAAACGAGTGCGAGATCGCATGAATGATGTGACAAATCTGTGTAGAATAAAAGCACATGATTCTTTCTGCGAAAAGCTCACTCAGCTGCAGGCTGCGCGCTAAAGCTGCATTCTGTTGGCAGTATGAGCGAATTGCCGTTTTCTTGTTCCCGTAACTGCTGCCCCGTTTCTATTACCACTGTAATATAGGAGTTATAGTTGGATATAGCTAGGCCGTATGATTTCCGGTTTCAACCGACGCTCGAGCACGCGCGAGCTGTGACATTTATTCATCTGTGAAGGACAATATAAAATCAGATTCCGCGAACATAACTTCAGCAATATAAACTTCATTGTTCACAGAAAACAGATCAAGGGAGTCATACAGTTCACTAGCGGAGTACCTTTCGGGAAAGAGGCTTCCGCGAAAGCCTCAATATTATCTCTAGTGTTCTGTTTAGGTCGCCAGCCCAGTTTGCCAAAAAAGGTCTGAGGAGTTTTCTGAGAAAGAGCTCGCAGAGCTCTTCGCTGTCGTAGGGGCCTCGGCAGTTAACACACACATCAGCGGGCAGTCCATAAGGTGTGGAAGCACAGCGCTAGAGAGGACCCTGCAAATCCTTCCACAACCACGAATCTCTGCCGACTGTAGAGCTCTCTCGACAAAGATGCAGACGAGCTTGCACACCCAGACAGCTTCAAGTAGTGGATAGCTGAGTACTCTTCGGTCAAGGCTAAAAACGAGCTGATATGCTCCGTCATGTGATGCATTTCCCTTAAGTTTCGCTTGCATTCAGGACACGTCACCTGCAAAGTTTAGCGGGTTCTACACATTAGCCTTCCTTGCTTTCACTGAGAAATTCTTATTGCTTTGCTAGGTTCATTGTTCCAACTAATTACTTTGAAATTACGACAATTCCTACAACTAAAAATGATCACCTTTTGTTCGCAAACGGAGGCCAAGTAGCCAGCCATGTAAGTCAGCGGTGCGAACTCAAGTTTGGAAGAGACTTCATTGTACGTCATCAACTGCAGGATTTCCTGTTTCACGAGTGGAGTTGGCACATTTCATCGCCGTTTGGCACTCAGAACTAGAACGCGCATTTATATTTCCGGCAGTTTCCAAAATGCCAACACAAACCACACACGCAAGCTCAGAGTGACACTACGATATTTTCGCCGAGCACACCGGTGCATAGGTGGAGGGAAAGCGAGTTTTGCTGCCTTCTGCAACCGCGGCAGCGCCTCGGTATCGGCGAAGCCAATGACAAGAATATATTTTATATGGATAGCGGAGCAAGAGCGCGTTGGGCGCCTTCTCTATACTCCGTTTTACCTTATGTTGTGCCGCAGCGAAGGTTGGAAGCGCGAGCTCGTAGCGTTGACAGCTGTCCTTACTGCACGAAAGCTTGTGCCGCCCAGATCTGCCCCAGAGCAAAGAACTCGCGCTTACAGCCTTTCCTGCGGTACAACATCAGGTGAAACAGAGTATAGCTTTCAGCTCACAAGACCGCTCACTAAAATCCCTTAATAAAATTCACGCTTTCAAGTACCGCCAACCATTGTTGTAGGAACGCGCGAGACACGTGCCACGAGCGGGTGCTCCGCCGCCATTCGCGTCCAAGAGCCGTTAATTTCAGTGCTGCGCCGCCACTTGCTTCCAAGGGCCGCTCAAGAAAGCTTTGACGTGCAGACACACGTACGGTCAAAGGACGTAAAGTTCGTTCGGATACCACTATTTCGTCAAATCTATGAATACGAAAAGTAATCTATGCATGAGAAAACGATTTTGGGGCGTGAGCCAATAAAACCGCTGACGTTAGAGATATGACACGCAACCGACCGACAACCTTAATCAGAAGGCGGCCGAAGCGCCGAACACGACACTTCGCACTTCGCACTTCGCTTCGCCCATAGAGGCTTCGCCGAGCTTTCATGAACGATCGCTCTCGACTCGTTTTGTTTGCCCGCTCGCTCCAATCTGTCGATCCTGCCCGGGCTCCACAATGTCTTATGTTTTAGTAGAATTTCTACTCGACAAGACTCAGCCTGTTGTGAGTTCCGACGATGTAAGGGACTTTAGCGTTGTAGTTGAAGACGACAGGGTGTACCAGGTCTACTGGGCCGGTGATTCGCGAACAAAAGGATCGTTCTAGGACGCGAAAGTACTCTACATGGCAGGTGAGTAGAACTGAAGTACAGCGAGTGATGTACGAGTGCTTTGCATAACATGCTGACGGCTTAACTGCATTTGCAGCCAAAGCATTTCGTATAAAACGAATAGTCAAATCAAGTTTCTCTAACGGTGGCGTAGCCTAGCGGTTAAGGCGTCCAATTTGTGCGCATGTGGTCTCGGGTTCGATGCGCGGTGGTGCCGGTTTTTTTTTTTTTTTTTTTCTCGAACATTTTGTTTTATCGAGGCATTTGGCGATATTTATGAGTGCGTATAGCTTTACTCTTATATAAATGCTGGCCTTGTTGATGAAATTCCCTTGGCAGTGGCAGTCAGACGTCATCTGATGGACCATCAGATGACGTCTGATGGTCCATCACGTTCCACCAACGCTGCTGACTGGCAGTCAGTGTCCCAAATTACGTAGCTTGATGGAATTTTCAATAGGGTGGCGATTTCTGCCCAACAATACAAGACAGTGTTGTAACTGAAAGCCGCACTTCATCGTTCTCATCCGGGTGCAAAACGTATACACACCAATCTTGTCAAGTAGAACCAGGTGAAGGCGCCTGCAGGAAGCTTCAGACTTGCGGAGCTTCGCTTTTACTATTTTGAGCTCCTCTTCCTTGGCTCGCAACAGCTGCTTGAGGACCAATTCTCCATCTCCCACCACATTTTTCCCACAACTTCACATGGCTGTACTGGGTGTGGACTCCTAGATGTTAAAAGCAATATTTCGATGTAAAAAGAAAAAAAATACATTGAACAGCATTGATGCTATGAACTTAAGGTTCTGATTTTGTGTTGCTGCTTTGGCAACTACAATCGTGGAATAACTGCATTAGCCTGTTTCCTTACCACTGCTGCTTTGCCATTTTGGTTGAAAGTCGACAGAATGCTTGAGAGCTGAGCATGTTGGGCCTCCGCCTTTCTCTTCCGCTTAAGCTGCCTTGCATCCTATTGATTGAAATAGAATTCGGTTATAATACCAACAAGGAAACGGCAATTTGTAAGATTACCTTGCTTGCAGCAGGGGGTTTCTTCGATGGCTGGTGCGACTTGCTCAAAATAATCCGTGGCAAAGGTGACCTGCCAGGCTTCAATGTCGTGTGTAGGCTATCCAAGGTCTCTGAAAAAAAAAGAAAGATGACATATCAGTTTAATCCACCCGGACTTTGTACCAGGCTAGATTAACTTCAGTCATCCGAGTGCTGCAAACCTGATTGCACAGCACTAGCGCCGGATTCGGCAAAGGCAGATGTCTGGTGTGCATGGTCTTTAGTATCTTCCCTAATCATTTCTTCCGTTTCAAGCCTATAGATTACATGGTGTGGGCAGCTAAAACTTCTTGCGAGTATCCTGTCACCAATGAATATATATCCGTGGTGTGCCTCTTGGCTGGTTGGTGCATAGTGGTGAAACAGTCGTGCCCTGTAAACGTCAACTTTAGTTGTGAAAGCTACAAAGCAGCTAAAGAAGTTGACATTTACACAGCTTGACCACTCCACCACCAAGCACCAACCAGCCATGGCGCAGGGCATAGATAATTATGCACCGGTGACAGAACACTCATGAGGAGTCTTAGCTGCCCATGCCATGTGACCTATGGGCTTCCAAAGGAGAGAATGAATAAACGAGGTACCAAAGACCGCGTACACCAGACATCCGTTTTCGCCAAATCCAGTGCCAGTGCCATGCAGTCGGGTATGCAGAAATTGGATGACTGAAGTTAGACTCGCTTCAAACAAAATCCGGGTTCAGCTCATAATTTAATGGTTGTACTATATTCATAAATAAGTTTCACCACCAGTGCTGTCATGCAGAGACAGCAGGTGCTAGGCAACTTTGTTCACCAGAGATGAAATAGACACCACATTGCAGTGCATGCTTGTCCGGATCCCACAGGATTTCGTCAGAGTCATAGAACAATACCAGAGCTGCAGTTATCTCCGTGCCTCTGCCACATGCCATCCCGTTCTCGGCATATGAAAAACCCTGTTGTTGGAATCCCTTATGATGCCCTATTCATGTGTTCAACTCCTTCGTTTGGCACCTGCAGTCATCCCTTTGATCATCCCAGCTATTTTTTTCTAGTGAAGACACTGTTTTCCCAAGTGGGTCCATAACAGTTCATTGCTCGTCAATATTGCAAAGTGTAGGATACCCACTGTATATATTCGGATAAGAGAAATGACACAGTGCTTAACTGTATCAGCTTGACAAACTTTTAGGCGTTTCGCTTGCCACTGGACAAATGTGCTTTGACCTTCCATATAGCCTTGGCTTTCCTGTACTGGTTTCGCCTCTTTCAAACGTGACTGCCAACGAAACTGAAAGATGCGTCAAACTTAAAATAATACATAGGAAGCAACACAGGTTTGTGTTTGACAGGTGGCAATCAAATGATAACAAAACTTAGTTAAGATATGGGGGTAATTAATCATGGTTGTAGTAAGGTTTACAAGAAGAGAATACAACGATGGATGGCGTGTTCGTGCAGGCCCGTAGGTCACCATTGTAGGCAATTTCTTTGGATGGGGGAACTGGTAACGGGTTGGATGTGGCTTCGGAAAGGTGGAAATTTTTAGGGTAGGGGAGTTAACACGGGGATTTTTCAGTGTGGGTTCTAGAGACAAGTGCTCGGGATTAAGTTATCTCATGCAACCCCCCCCCCCCCCCTGTTCGTCGGGTATCGTATGTCCAACTCCTAGCCAAGCCTTTTGGCGTTTCGACTTGTTGAAGCGACACCTGATGGGATCGGGCAATCCATTCACATATTTGGTGGAGCACCGAAATGGTGCACAAAGGGCAGGTATTGCATCACCATCTCTGATTCTACTTTCAATCAAGGCAAAATGGAAGGTTTCTTTTCCACCATTCAAGAAAGGAAGTGAATATTTTGGCGGCAGATAACATAGCACCTTGAAATGAAAATTGTTGGCACTGCCCTTTTATTGGCTGGCTGCTAAGGTTTGTGAGGTCTGCGGTCCTGGTCCCTAAATGTATTTTTGCTTTCTTTTGCCTCTAAAGATGGTCGTTGCAGATGCCATATGCTAGGAACGTCATACGCGATGGTTTAAACCCGTGACCGAGGTCGAAAACAGGAAAAAAACTTAGTGAGAGAGAAAAAAGGAGACAGGCAACGTCTCAACATCGAATTTCAGTACAATTTTTATAAGAGTAAAGCTATACGCACTACGTCGTGCATCTCGACCAGAAAGGGCTGCACGCACTACACGGAGAGCTTGTCCCTACTGAAAAAAACCATATGAAATTCAAACGGGTGGCAAACTGGTAAATCAAACGGGTGCAAACTTGTCGACCCGTTTGGATCAAACGTGAAAATGGGATACGGTAGCCGTTTGAGACGGTACCCGCTCGAAACGGTGCCCATTTGAGACAGGTGCCCGTTTGATACGGGTGCCCGTTTGATACAGGAGCCCGTTAGACCTTGCACGTGACCACACGTTTGAACGTGCCATTCGAATAGGGAATTTATGTGCTAGACCTAAACGGGGATCGTCTGGTAGGTTGGTTCCGAAACTCATAAACCTATTTATAACATCGAGGAAACACGTAGAACAAATGTGCTCACGTAGGTGCTTGCAAATGGACAGGAAAACAGACACAAAATATTGTTTTTAATTCTCCTCAATGTTTATTACGTCTTCTGTAGACAAGTAAAAACGTGCAAGCGACCTGTGAAATGTGAGAGGCACTGTAAGCTTTTATAGAACTGAGAAGATAGCAAACCAAACAAGAACCGAGGTAATTCTAGACTATGAAGGTAGACTTTCGGGAAATTATTCGCCCGGCTGCCGCGAGAATAGTGGCTGCATAATTATATCGGTAATCTGGAAGACTACGAGCAGAAAAACGGTAAATCTTTACCAAGAAGTAGATTGCAGTGCACTTACCATAAAAATAGCGGACTTGAAAGATGTAATCCGTAATATTTGTCGACACGGTCAAAGTAGGACAACCACACAAACACAAATGAGAGGAAACGGCTTATTTTAAGTTTCAACACGATGTGGCGCACAAGCTGTCAGTTGCCGAACCCAACCAAACCGCAAAAATTCCTGACTTCTTTGAAGAATTGCTTGTTGCCGATATAGACGTAGGACTTTTCGAACACTGATAGCTTTGGTGCACATCCAATACGTTGTCGAGAGACATCCTAATAAGACCGCAGGGTTAGGCGACAGATCGAAGCAGGTGGACGCGCGAAGTTCGAGCTGGAACTGACAACAAGCAGACAAAAAAAAAAAAAAGCATCTGCTATACTTCGCGACAACTTTCCTTGGCAATGCAGTGGAAGGTATAGGCCCGCGTCCCCTCTCCCATTTTGAGTGTACGAAGGCTCTCCTCCTCCCCCATTTCTCGGGAGAGGATGAGAGCCCGCGTACACTCAAAATGAGAGAGGGGACGCGGGCCTGTACCTACCACTGCATTGCCAAGAAAAGTTGTCGCGAAGTATAGGCGCACCCTTCCGGATCTCGATGCTTATCAGCGTGTAGCTCGCGCGCGGCTGCAGGTCATGTGACGGGTGACAAGAGGGGAGGGAGGGGGCGAGGACCAGAGGTACAGCAAATACTTTACTAGGGGGAATACAGGACACTCCCCGCGAATACAATGGCCTCGGGGACGACAGGTTTTGCGCGCTTTGAATGGGTGGATGTGGCAGGGTGTGGTGGCTTTCCCCTTTAGGATCGGATGGTGACTAGCGCCGTCTCTCGGTGCGGGATATTTTACTACCGGCCGAACTTCCTGCAGTGTGTGCACGCTCTTCGGTCGCGGCGGCGTGGGTCGTCTGTTGAATTTAAAAACAAGCGGACACTTTGTTGGTGACTCATTTAAAGGGCGCGCATACGTAGGATGAGCTCTATGTCTACGTTGTGTTATATAAACCGCACGCATGTAGCTCGATCAGCGAGTATCGAAATTTTTACGGGCGGTTTTGAAAGATGTTCTAATAAGTGTGGTTAGTCGTAATCGCACTTGAAAGCAGTACAAAGCAACTAATATTAAGGAACTATGTCGACACGACAAGCACGTTTAGCAGGCACAGCAATGTATTGTCATATACTTCACAGCAAAGTATTTGCTACTATGATTATCGCTAATAACGCCCGAGAAGGCACTTTGAGTAAACGACCCTATTTTCGCGAGCTCGGTATGTCGAGAATTTTTCAAAGTGCTTGTTTCGGGAATGTCCGGCTGGCGCAAAATTCTGATATCAGGAGTGGGGTTCTGTGTATTAGATATGAGACGATTTAATCGTGTGATCCTTTTCTCCCTATTTTCAAAATCCGAGTAGGTGGTGCTTTGCAGCAGCCCAAGGCAACGGAAAAAAAAAATGTTCAGAAAGTTGGGAATAATTTTTTATTTCTTCGTAGATAGTCAACATTTTTCCTAATAGACCATGCTGGCCTTGAACAAAGCTAGTTTGGATTTTTAGTATTTCTACAATGATAATTGAAAGTGCGAACTCAGATTCCACTTATAAATGTCATTCGACAAATTATTTGTTGAAACAATATTTATTGCGCATTGAACAAATGCGTACAGCTTTGCATTCAACAAACACAAACCTCTGTTTATACAGACAATAACGCCTTGAACAAATATATACAGCTCAACATTCAAGAGACACGGATCATATATATGTTTTGCACACACATTTTGAATAAGCTCAGCATGAGAAACGCGACGCCGAAGTTGTTTACTTACGTGATTTGATCTGGAGGGAACCGAAAAAAATGACAGGTTTTTGCCCCGCAAGGTCCGGCTCTTGCTGCGGAGAACGGAGCACACTGTCCCTCCTGCCATTTTCACGGATTCTTTACAGCGGCGAACGCGTCATACTAGGTGCACTACAAAAGGACACTGTAGCGTGTCATCCGTCGAGAAGGACGCTGGCATCAACATGCGGTGACAGGTCGCGCAATGGTGGCCGCTGATAGTCGTCGCGCCCGGCCTAGCCGACACGCCTAGCCCGGCGCCCGCGTGTTCGCCCGCCCGCGTTTGGCATCGTCGGTGACGCATATTGGTCACGTGTTCTGGCGGGAGGAGAAAATGTGAGAGGAGGGGAGAGAAAATAGGGAGAGGGACACACCTAAAT